TTTTTTTGTTTTTTTTTTTGTTTTTTTTTTTTTTTTTTTTTTTTTTTTTTTTTTTAAAGAGGTTTTCATGAAGATTAAGAATCTGAAATAGGCTGCTGTTGGAACTGTAGGCTTGAAGCCCCCAGAAACTTTATAAACTTTAGCTGTATGAGGCCCTCCTCTACTCAGCATTCTGTAAATAGGTCGGTATTTTCTAAATCACATTACAGTTGAATTAATCTCTGCCAACAATTATTTTGTCTAAATACCTACACCCCACTCCCCTGTGGCTGACCTTTCTGTGATATCTATAACTACCAACATTATAGTCAGGAGTGCGATAGCATTTCCATTTATAAATACATATTCAAAAAAAGGCATATGATTTGGCCAGACAAGGTATAAATCATTCACACAGCACTTCTTTTCTTGTGACAGTAGGTCCAACAGATATTCAACATGGGGTATAACAAGTTAGTGTTGCACCAAACAGAAAGAAAATTAGATGATGTTTTGAATTCCCGAAATTCAAGATGCTTTGTGAAACATGTGAGCCAGAATCTAATGCAAACTTATCAGACTTGGTGTCTTGAGCGGACAATAAGACAAATATGACATATATCTCTGAAAAAGAACAAAAGAATATGAAGTGTACTATCCATTTATATCTTAACTACTCAGAAGGACTAACATTGCTACACAGTGTCTAGAAGCTTAATTATTATGCTGTATTCATGTCTGATCATCATATTCCAAAGTAGACTATGTTCCATAAACTGTGAAGGTATCATATTAACTAATCCCAGGGAAAACAAAAAGATCCTCACTTTAATCCAAATGAGTCCATCTGTTTTCCATGAGGTTTTCTTTTCCCTTCCAGAAACCTCACATTTAAAAAGGAAATATTCAGCAGCTGGACTGAAATCACTTCAGTTCCATTTTAAGTTTTCATGTTGTCACTAGAAACTCTTCATGGATTTATATATCCTCTCTCATTTTGACAAACCTTTACTCTTTCACATATGATACCATTGGGAAATATATGTCAGCATCAACATTGCAAAATAAAATTATGATTAGAAACTATGACTCTGCATATTGTTTGAGAGTTACAAAAATACGCTGAAGGACATATGATCCAAAACTCAAGCTCTTGGACACTGTTTGCATGAAAACATACAGGCAATATTCAGTTAAGATATATGTTTTCAAAATGTCTATTCTGCCAACCTAAGGCAGAGTTCTCTTGAAGAACTGCCTCTGTTATTGCAACCAATTAAAAACAAATCAGCTGTGAAAAGCAGGGTAATGATCAGGGATCCTGGTTTTCTCTTTTTAAAAATCACAATTCTCTGATAAAAAAATATAGCAAGTTCTCTGATAAAAACCCCAAAATCCACAACTAAAATGAAACATTGATATCTATATATCTATCTATCGATATCTATCTATAGATATCTAGAGATTATATATCTATATAGCTATAGCTGTCTATATATCTATATAGATATATATAGGTATCAATTGAACACAATATTTTATTGATCTATTTACAATTTTAAAGCAATTTGGAAGCCTACCAGTGCCTCAATCACTATAATAAAATAAATTCTAAATACCTATACATTTTGCTATTTGATTTTGGGTTTTTTATTCTGAAAAAAATCAGACCTTCCCCCTGCCCCCTTCACTCACCAGGCTGCAGATTCAGGCCTTCACTCCCAAGCTACAACTCCCTAGCCCTATTTGTGCCTGTCACTCCCCAACCACAGCCTGCCCCCCCACTCCTGCTGGTGCCCCTTGCTCCCCACCCACAGCCCCGCTGGTGCCCCTTACCCCCCACCCACAGCCCCCAGCCCCCCAGCCCTGCCATAGGGGGTCCCCAGCTGCCAAGGCTATAAGGCCAGGGACCCAAGTTCACAGCAGCACCCGAGCCCCAGCTGCTGCCCACAGGAGGTGGTAGCTGCTGCAGTGGAGCAAAGCACAGAGTCTGGCTCCCCTTCCCCCTGCAGGTGTCACAGCTGGTGCGGAGCCTGTGGGGGTGGACGGGATGTGGGTTGCCCACTGTAGGCTCAGGTCAGCTCCCCACTACTGTGCACACTCC